TATATTTCAAATCAATCTATTCAATAAAATGTAAAGGCTAAATCATGGCTGTGATACTAAAAGTCTTTGTTAAACCACTTCTTGTGCAAAGTTTATATGAAACACACCTATTTTAATCATCAAAACAGTGAAAATGTCAAATGTGTTACATAAAACAGACTGTAGCACTGTAACAAAATAATTTAGTAAAACATACCAAATATACTCTTGACGATATATCAATACAGCACCCCACAATATCAATACTGTATCAGCACATTACATAATACAATATATCAATGTTTTGATATTTTTGCACACCCCTAGGAGTATTAGTAGTAGTAGTAGTAGTAGTAGTAGTAGTAAGAGGAGGAGGCGGGCGTGTCTTTGATGTGTGGTGGTTTGTGAGGCTGGCAGATGCTCGTCAGCCTCTGGTCATGTTCTACTTTTACGCAGCGGGCACACAGAAGCACAGTCAAACACTCATTACAATAAAAGGGCTAGAAATGCATCCAATCAGCAAACAGATGTATGGACAGATGACGTTATGCAATAGGCACTGACCTTCTTATAGAATGGTAGAAATAGCTTTAGGCTTATGATTTATTTGAGATCTGTTCTCTGCAGTTTGTCTGTTTTTATTTGACAGACAGCCAGAAGGAGCAGTGAATAATATGATTCAATACAGGGTCAAGCTAGAATGCTAACCTTGAAGCTCTCCACATGATCAGTGGTACATCTTGCAGGACTGAACTGGTATATACAGTCTAGACCATAAACTGTACAAAGCAGCTGACGACGGACCCATAATACATACAATATGGTTTAAAAAACACAAACAGCATTAATGGCAGAATAAAACACTTTAGTAGTTAGTTTGTATGTATGTATTCATGGATTTCAGACAAAAAAAGTCCTTCCTGATTTGAAGGATTTTGTGAGGACCATTCCTAATGTAAAAAGGTCTGAATTGCTTAATTGCTATGATGACAGAGGAATGTTGCCATAGCATGAAACCCATGAATAATGAGTCATAGTTATTTATTCAGCCCTTTACTGCTCAAAAGTACCCAGGATAAATACTGACCCCATACAATTATTATACCATCTAACATATATGGAAAAATAAGTTGATAGAGTAATTATGGTGACAGGCCTAAAGCCAATTTAGATTTTAAATTTAAAATCATTGTCTATATTTTCTTCTGCAGTATATCTCACTTTAAATTTTAGTATTGTAACAGGTCTAAGAAGAACACAAAAGTAGGGACATAATATGGATAGGCCTGTCACGATAACAAATTTTGAAGTGTGATATACTGCTGAAGAAAATATAGAAGATAAAGGATAATACTGAAACACTGTCACTAACACAAAAACACAAGAGCAGATTTCAACCACAAAAACTATTCTAAATCTACAATATTGTTAAAAAACAAAACAAAAAACAGCTGCAATAAATAAATAAATAGCAGAATGAAACACTTTAGTACTTCGTTTGTGTCTATAATAAGTCATAGACGTTCAAGTGTCAACCTTCTATAACCTAAATCTTGTCATATAGTCAATAAATAACCAAAAAATAGTGCAAAGAAAATGTACACACAATAAATATTTACCCCAAAAATACATTGTTCCATCTAACATATATTGAACCATAAGTCGATTTAGTAATTATGGTGACAGGCCTAAATATGAGTTCAGTTTACGATGACTTTCCAAATGGCACTTTTCAGCCTGAACTACCAACGTTATAATAACGTCTGTCATTTCCCAGAGCGGCGATGGAGCAGTGTATCCATCCTCACACAAAAGCTGCTGAAATGGTGTTTTCTGTGGGGCTTAATGGCACATATCAGAGCGTCTCCAGAACACAGGACACAAGATTTAGGAAACTGTCTCTGAGATACACGACTCACCATCAGAGCCACATCGAGCGTGACTTTGGTCGTGATCGGGCTCAGAGGGCTATGAAGGAGCTGTGTGCCGGTCTGGCAATCACTTTTTCTTCCCTCCTTCCTCTTTTAGTTGTTGTAGTTTTTGGCTTTGTGTAGATTAAGAAAGCATAACGCAGACTATGGAGGCGTACTTCAACTGGCTTCTGTAGTAAAAGGAGTGAAAGGCTGTATGCACTTCACTGTCTATTGAGTCTGCTGTTGATATTGATTTTGTGGTGTTTAGAAACTGAAACCACAACATCGGATTAATTGCAAATAGTTTAGTAATCACTTGATTGTTATAGCAGTTAAGGATGCATCGATACAACTGGTATTAGATATTGACAATTAGCTTGGAAATATCAGTTCAGTCGATATCCTATTTTGGTGTATGTATATATTTGTGAATTAAGACGAGTTACTGGATGTTGTTGGCCCAAAACACCTTGTAGTCTGTCAGTCTGCCCCAGGGCAGCTGTGGCTACAATAGTAGCTTACCATCACCAGGTACAGAGTGAATGAATAATGTTGAATGTAATGCTCTGTAAAGCATCTTTGTGACAAAAAAATGTCTGTGAAAAGTGCTATATAAATAAAGACTTACTTACTTTATGTTTTTCAAAAGGTATTCTGTTGTTGTTTTAAATGATAAATAATAGTTACATAATAATAGTTTAATTATATATTTACAGTCTTGAGTAGTAGTAGTAGTAGTAGTATCGGTTATTGGAAGCTACTTAAAGCCAAAGTATCAACATTACTAAATCTCTAATAGCAGTAATTACATCACAGTAATAAGGTTGGGCAGTGTTGAGAAATTATCCAGATAATAAAAGTCAGATGATATTATGTCAGGCCAAGATATGTGTCTTTACAGGTGAACTGTGCAACTTTTCTGATAGGGGTCTGCCACCTGCTTGTTTTCATGGAGATGTAAGTGCTTTGCCAAGAATGTTCCATGGTATGATTTTAAACAAATCCATGAATAGGCGCGACTCTCCACAGATCTGAATTGCAATGTAACAGAGTGCTGTAACCTGCTTGTCCTCATAGTGATAGATTAGTTTAATCTATACTGTGGATTATACTAAATAACGCAATAATATTTTCATGGAGACATCAGGTGGCCTCCTCTAGAAATGTGACACAGTGCACTTTTAATGTATAAGTTGAAGTTTAACTATCAGACAAATGTGAAACTGCTGAAATATTATCTACAGAAGTACAGATATATCACCTCCAATACTAAAATGAGAAACGAATGAGTAGTTCGACAAAGACAGATCTGCTTAGTGTGCCTCGCAGTACACCTCCAAGTGTTACTATATAGACGGTTACTATATGTCCAGTCCCACTCCTCCTCCTGACGGAGCCTTGATGTAGGGTCTCGAGTAAACCCCACAGAGCAATGACATAACACCATCCACTGGCCCTATAGAAGAGACAGCACGCTCCTCGGACTTCACAAATAGAGAGAGAGGGAGAAAGAGAAAGACGGAGAGGGAGACAGGCAAAGAGAGAGAGGGAGGCAGAGAGAGACAGAGAGAGAAGCAGCAATCGAGAGAGAGTCAGAGAGAGAAAAAGAGAGGCAGAGGCTGAGAAAAAGAGAAGAGAGAGAGAGAGACAAAGGCTGAGAGAGGGAGAGGCAGAATGAGTGAAAGAGAGAGGCATAGAGAGAAGAGAGAGTGAGACAGAGGCTGAGAGAGAGAGAGAGAGACAGGGAGATAGAAAGACAGAGAGAAAGACAGAAAGAAGAGAAAGTGAGACAGAGGCTGAGAGAGAGAGAGAGGGGCAGAGAAAGACAGAGAGAAAGATGCAGAGATCGAGAGAGCGTGTACAAGCCCTAGAGAGAAGGTGGTTCGCTCCTTAGACTTCACTTCCATGCACGTTTCTATTGCAATCTGCTAAGTCCGGCCTCTGAAAACACCAAGTTGTATCCATCAATCACACTGGCCCTGCGCTGGTCCTATCTGCGCCGGAGCTGCTACAAGAATTATTTATGGCCCAATCACACCTTGGGCGTTTCAACTCTAAACTAATCCATATATTAAAGTAGAGCCTTGAGAACATAAACCAAGCTGCGGAGTGTGACCTTTTCGCCAGATAACATATTCTACTGTTTACCGAAAGAATAAAAAAGAAAGCGAGAGAAGGAAGGGAAAGGGAGGGAGGGAGAGAGAGAAAGACAGAGGCAGAGGGAGAGAAAGAAAGAGAGATTGATTTTTAACAGACCTTTACTGAGTCTGTCAAAAACATTTGCATTAAATTTCATCCACACCTACTACTGTTTACACTATTTGCAAAAACAGAGGAAATAGACTGAGAGGACAGAGAAAGAGTGAGAGGCAGAGAGAGAAGCAGAGAGAAAGACAGAGAGAGAGGCAGAAAAACAGAGAAACATGGAGACAGAGAAAGAGAGCGTGAGACACAGAGAAAGACAGACAGAAAGAACGAGAGGCAGAGAGAGAGGGAGGCAAAGAGAGAGGGAGGCAGAGAGAAAGAGAGAGGCAGAGACAGCAAGACAGAAAAAGAGAAAGAGAGAGAGAGGCATGCAAGATAGATCTGTGTTTGTGTGCAAGAGGCTCCAGCAGAGGAACAGCTGGATGGAGATACAAAGGAATGTCTTTCCTGTCTCCTGTTTCTTTCCTTTCTGCACAGAGGAGAAATAACACATGTACTGAACACAACGATCAAACCAGCTCCAATCACAGAGCGCTTCACTGGATCAGCCGCAGATTAAAAGCTTAATTACTCAAACAAGTCAAGCTATCAATAAGCAATTAATCATGAATGAGCCGTACATGCGCCAATGATTAAGGACCAAGAGTAAACACAAGTTAGTAGCCTAATGAAAGCGCCTTAAGGTCATTCAAGAGAGAAGATAACTACGATGTTTATGCATAATAAAGTTGGATACATGGCATGAACTGCAAGCGTCGTAACCTAACGTGCTCAAAGTGATGCAGTCATTAATACAGAGAAAAAAAAGTTGCAATGTGTTTTAAATTACTTCTTACGTAAATAAAACAAAAACATAGCCGAATTTTTGAGTTGGCGTTTCCAAAATGTACAGAAAGCACTCACCTCCGTGTATTTTACGCACGCTCCACGGCGCAGCGGTGGTTCCAGTAGTGACGATGTTGTTCTGAAATCTGCACCTTTCTGCGGTAAACTTTAGGAAAACCAAACGTTCGGCGTCTCCTCGTCCTCCTTCAGCCCGTACGGTCCACGTTCTCCGCGTATGTCTCCGCAGCTTCACTGTCAGAGCAGAGCGGAGCGGAGGTTGGGGTCTGGAGCTCTGGAGCTGGCGCTGCTCTCACGGGTGCGCTGGGTTTATGCACACATACCTTCCGGAGGGGCGGGAACAGGAACTTCATCAAATCAGCCAAACACCAGACAAGAGGTAGGTGTAAAACAATTACTGTCATAAAAAGTGATTCATCAACCATAAGTATTAATGTCTGATGTCTGGATTTAATCTCAAAGTTTAGGCAACGTGAGCTAAAGTATCGAAATTAGTAGTGATAAAAATAGATAAAAAGATAATTTCATAACATAGGCATATTGGCTAGGCTAACGTACATTAATCATGAATCAGTCATCAATATAAAATATATAATCAGTACCATTTTGTCAAATGTCTGTTCTTTTGCTTATACCCAGCTAACAATTTACAAGTCACAATCAACAAGTTACAAGTTTTGGTTCCCAGAACTAGTAGTTTTTTTGTTTTTTTTCCCCTATCACTAATAGTTAGCCTAGCAGGAGCAGCAGATTGCACATTTTAGCATAACTGCAGATGAATAACAAAGCTTACCTTAATATTGAAAAAAAAAAAAAAAAGCTCTCCATAATTCCAATCTTCTGTACTACCTGTATGTTATTTTATTTGTTTAATGCATGCAGTATAGTAATATTAACATAATAAGAGAGTATTTCATTGCGGTGTCTGGTTGCTAAAGGTAAACACACGTGTGGCAGTGGCGGAGTGATACATTTTAGTGGACAGTGCACAGAAGTCCAGTGGGTGTAATTTTGCAGTTTTGTCTAATATAAATAATGCATAAATTTATGTTCTAAATTTGGTTTAATATTTAGCCAACATTATATGCATAATAATAACACAATTTGTTTGACTTTTTCTAATATAAAAGGAATTTAGTGGCATGTTTCAAGATGGGATCCCCAAACTAACTATGCAACTAACTCACAGTGAAGTTAAGTTAACAGCATAAACCAATTTTAAGTGGAAAAACATGTAAAATCAGGTAAGCATTATTTGAATGGCTTGTTGTTTTATTGGACCTAATATATACCTTAATATAAGTATGATATTCCAATTAAGGTTTAGATTATATTACTATTGTATCATAATGGATTATTTAAATGTGTACTTATAATTACACCTTGAAATCATCTCTCAGCCCCTAGCTCAGTTGAAACTAAACTGACACAGCTGGTGATATTTAGTTTCAGCTTTCTAGTTCCAAGTTTTCAGTCTATAAAATCTTTTAAAATTCTTGTGGTGACCAGTGACCACATCCGCACTTGGCCACAGAGTGACCCTTCATACATATTACCTCATAGGCCATGCACTCAGACACGATGCATTCTGCTTGGTCCCACTTTGAACCACTCTAAGGTGTGTCTCTCCCCCCTCTGCCCCCCACTACCCTCCCCCTCCTTCCTCCAGAAACTCAATCCGGGGTCTTCCTCCTGAAACAAAGACCTGCCACCTGTCTGATTCACCCCTGAAAGAAGAGCCCTGTGCTATGCTCCAATGACCTGATTTGTAGACACATTGTATGTATGGATTGATTACCGCCAACTTCTTAAGTACAAAATCCCAGACAGTTGAAATGAACAGCTGCCACCGTATGAAGTTAATCCCAGAGGAAAATCTCAATATGGCGCAAACGTCTTTAAGGTATTTGTACTTTGTTTGAGAATTTGTCCATATGTTTCTGGCAAATAACTAAACATAATTGTGTATTCTTTTGGCTTATTGTGAAATGGTCTTAAAATCTGGCAACCCAAAGAGAGGAGCTCATTCTTCTTTCTGACTGTTTATTGGCTCAAGGACCAAAGCACAAAATCCAAACACTAACAACATTTGCAGCATGTGTAATAATAACTGTGTAATTGTGAATAGAGGCCAGTACTGAGGACAGTACTTTTGAGGTTTTAAGATAAGCTCTAGGCGCACATCACTTTTGTGATGAAGGTTCCGCTACCTGCTTGTCTCCATGGAGATATTCCAAAGTACAGTATTAAACCTGAACACATCTAGGTTCGCACCACCAGGCCAAGGTGCAAGTCAGATCTGCGGAGAGAAGAGCCTATAGTCACAGATGCTAAAGGTATGTTTAGTATTAAAAACACCTGCAATCGAATAGGTTGCATTCTTGTTCTAGACTTCTTGTTCTAGCTCTAATTTCAGATGATGGACAAGGGCCTATGTAACTCTAGACTGAGACAGAGAAGACACTGAACCTAATGCCAGTTTTTGTTTCATAAGGATAGACCCAGTAATTGCATAGATATTAATCATAAACCAAGTCAATAAATTTGTAATCTGACAGTTAAACAACAAATTCCATCATAGAATTCTGACCAGTTAGATTTTAAACTATACGCAAGGTACACTGTTGTCTGATGTTACGTGAACCCAAACTACGGGGTTAGGTGGTGGAGCCTTTCTTTACAAAATTACAAAATCCACCTTTAAGATATGTTAAAATCCTCAAGAGTAATGCTTGTTTTTAAAACACACACGCACACACATGCACACACATACACATACACACATACATATACAAACAAACTCCTTCCACCAATTTTTGTAACTTTTAATCACTCTTTTTGAAAGCAGAGCTATAGACCAGCTCCACAGGAGAATACAGACATGGTTTCCATAATGATTTCTTTTGAACAGTTGCACTACAGCATGCACAAAGGGCTCAAACATGAAAGTGCAGAGTAGTATTTAATCTGTTCTCTCTCTGTTTTCTCTCTGTCTCTCTCTCTCTCTCTCTCTCTCTCTCTCTCCCTCTCTCCCTCTCTCTCCACAGCATCCTCCCTCGTGTTTCTGAAGTGAAGCCTTCCCCTGCCTGAGGAGAGGGATTCTACAGCCAGCACAGGTGAACTCTGTCTGACCTCTCATTCTCACCACAGAACAAACCAATTTATTTGTTGTTCTGATGCCAAGTGCACCATCCGGCACCTTTGTCTCCTCTGTTGTGGTTTGAGCCCTCTTCATTTTTCTACCTAGAGAGGTACAGGGTTTTACATATCCAGATGTTAATCAATTTACTCCACAGCTGGTCAATATAACCTTATGGATTTTGTAGGTCAATTTGTATTTAACCTTTACCAGATGTTGTAATGAAGCGTCCCTGTCACTATCATGTTGCTCAGAACTACTTTGATAAAACAATAACAATATATATTTACTTATATTTATATATATTTGTATTCTTAACCTGAAATAGTGGAGGTTGATATTGACAAAAATATCCTAGTATTTATGGAATGTAAATTAGATCATGTTTTCAACCCATCAGAAGTGTGCTCAGTGTGCATGGTAATTTCTAGGTTGTGGTTTAAAGATGCACTGTGTAACTTTTCTGGTGAAGGGTCCGCCACCCTTTGTCTCCAAGGAGATGTTGCTGTTTTGTCTGGAATGTCCCAGTAGGGCTTTAAATGTGTCTGTCTGCATTTACTCAATAACGTGGGTTTTTATTGACCTAAAAACTTAAATTCTTACTGTGAATGGGCTCGCCTCTCCAAAGATCTGACATGTAATTTTGTCCTGCAGTGTCAGTTGCTGTCTATGTAGAGATAAATAAGTATAGTGTAATAATGTGGAATATTCCAAGAAATATTTCCATGGAGACAAGCAGGTGATAGACTCTCCAACAGAAGTTACACAGTGCACCTTTAAGTATTGCACACTAAAGGGTACAGTCCTGATTTGGTCCCAGAATTTAATATAGACTCGGTTTAGTCCTGGTTTAGTCCTGGTTTAGCTGTGGTCTAGTCCTGGCTTAGTCCTCGTTTAGTCCTGTTCTAGTCCTGGTTTAGTCCTGTTCTAATCCTGTTCTTTCCTGGTTTTGTCCTGGTTTTGTCCTGGTTTTGTCCCGGTTTTGTCCTGGTTTTGTCCTGGTTTAGTCCTGTTCTAGTCCTGGTTTAATCAGGTGGCTTCAGTCAGGTGGCTTCGATGTGGTGTGAATGCAATTCTAAACACACTCTAATAGAATGGAGTGTAAAATTAAACCCAAGAGTGCAGAAATCTCATTGTATACACTCTTTGAAAGATTACTGTGCAGATTTCTACTCAACTTTATTTATTATGGACCATTTCAAACCATCCATTATATTATACTATCAGTGTGTACTGTGATACTCACAGGAATACAAATAATGACCCAGGAGTATGCCAAGAGAGTTTACAGGGAAAAAAAAGAAAAAAAGAGGGGAATTGCTGTTTTTTCTTTATTTACTTTTCAGGCAAAGCTAAATGTTTTAAATGTGATGTTCCCCCTGTGTCTGGGTGGGTTTCCTCCAGGCACTGCAGTTTCCCCCATCAACCCAAAACAGGCACAATAGGTCAAAACCTCCAGCCGACTTCCCTGACCAGCCAGACTCTTCTAAATTCTGTTCCGAATCCAGAACTCTTTTTTTTTTAGTGTTTCTCAAATGTGGAAGACAGCTCCACTCGAAAATTCTTGTAACATTCAGAACAAAACATATAACTTTTACTTTTACCTCAAATAAGTAACTGTTTGGTGCTTTAATTATTGATTCTGTAAAAATCCACACCGTTTCTTAGATTTTCTCCTTTTTTATGTGGATCATGCATCACTTTGATTGAGTGTCCCACCTGTCAATCACAGCCTCTGAAATCAAGGAGACAGGATACAGCTCCAGATCCTCTTGTTTTTGTAAAGTTTTTTTCAAAGTGTGTGGTTCTGTCCTCTCTGGCCAGGTAAGGTTTTCTCTGGGCACTGCACATGCACCTATGGCCCCCAGAGATGTATGTGAGTGTACCTTACCGACCATATTCACCAAAAAAACAACTTCTCAGATTGACCAAAACAAAATATCGACCTGTGCTGGAGATTCAATGCCGATAGCTGATATGCTAGAAAGTCCAATTATCTATCCAGTATATCGGCTGGCCACTATCAGTCTATCTCTGCAGACTGCCTTTCTCTC